AAAAAAAAAAAAAAAAAAGATGTCTGATGCTCAGATTCCTTATGAGGAATAAGAGGGTGTGACAGTGGTGTCACCTCCGAGCTGTTAAGAGGGTTAAATGAGATAATGTATCTAGCATAATGATAGTCATAGTCATCACAGATAAGCGTCAGGTCCCTCCCTTTTTTTCCTCTAAAATGAAAAGTGTGCATCAGGGACATTCCTAAGCACTATAAAATATAGTACAGAAAATACACAAGTCCTTCAGCTTGCTAGAGAGATTTATCATGGGGGGAGTGTGTGCATTTGCAATTGAAAAACACACAGAAGGCCGGGCATAGTGGTTCACGCCTGTAATCCCAGCACTTTGGGAGGTTGAGGTGGGCAGATCACCTGAGGTCACACGTTCGAGACCAGCCTGACCAACATGGAGAAACCCCACCTCTACTAAAAATACAAAATTAGCCGGGTGTGGTGGCGCATACCTCTAGTCCCAGCTACTTGGGAGGCTGAGGCAGGAGAATCGCTTGAACCCAGGAGGCAGAGGTAAGCCGAGATTGCGCCATAGAACTCCAGCCTGGGCAACAAAAGCAAAACTCCGTCTCAAAAAACAAACCAAAATACAAAAACCCCTACACAGAAAAGAATGGCACTACAACAAACGTGGTTTTAGTTACGGTGTATTTTCTACAACATGATTTAGTGGAAAGGATTAAACTAGGCCTCAGGAAACTAGGTGCTCCTTGCAGCTCTACTATTTATTGGCAACACAAAGTTGGACAAATCACTTATTCTCTCTGTACCCGTTGCATCATCTACAAAATAGGGATAAATTCACTCTGCCCACCTCTCAAGAGTTGTGTGGCCAGAATAAAAATACAGATAGAGGCACTCTGAAAACCACAAAGCAACACAAATGTTAATATAATTAAATGTGTTTATTACGGAGAAGGGGCTTGACTTTGTGACTACAACTTTGTACAAAAAAAGTGTAGACGTTAGGCCTGTTTATAGAAGGTAGTTAAAGAAAATGTAGCTTTGGGCTAGCAATGTTCTGTTCTTTTTTTTTTTTT